CTTTCGGCAGCTGTGCAGAGTGGAACGGAGATAGAGAAGAAAAAGAGAAAGACTTGGCGCGGTCGATTGCCAGGAAGAAGGCAGAATGATGAAGAAGAGGAAAAAAAAAGCAAATGGCGAAAGAGCGAAGTTGAAGAAGAAGAAGAGAAAGTGAAAAGGGGGGAAAAGGACTGCGATCCAATGCGATCGACGATACCGTCGATCGAGAGAACTGATGAGACGAAGAGGATTATTATTTGGACGTTCTGCCGGTGGGTGCAAATATTTCCTCGTATTTTCAATTTGATTGTTTATGCTCATTTTTCGAAGATTACACCTTAACAGTGTGTAATGAAAATATAACGATAATTTCAATTTTGCTTTTCGAAAATCTATATAATACAGATAGAATTGTGTAATTAAAACCGAGAAATTCTTGGATAAATAATCTATGCAATTTAGAGGAATCGATTGTTTTCGTGAGACGAGTTAACTCCGTTTTCTTTTCACTTTTCTTTACTATTTTTGTTCCATTTCGTATTTTCCGAAGGTTCTTCAAACCGCGTTTCTCGATTAACCTAACCTATTGCTCGTTACAAAGAGGTCAGTTAGGGATCGTATTATATATCGATATATATATATCGAAGAGAAGCCTAAAACTGCCTCCGCGATACGGACTGGCTCCTTCCTGGATGAGATTCCTTCTTCTTCTCTTCTGTCCCCCTCTTTCCACCACCGCCGCCCTCGTCATCTTCCTCCGCCCCCTTCCCTCCCCTCCCACGTCAGGGCCAACATGCACGGGGCTTCATTAGCGATCGCGTAATATAAATCAAACGACGACGCGTTTTAATTTATAAAACGCCATTACACCTTATGAATGACCCATTCATGTGAGAGGCTTCGCTTCGTGGACACGTGTCCCCGTTGTTACGACCACGAGTGCCAGAAAGGGAGAGCTCGAAGAAAGAGCCACCACCAGATAGAGAGAGTACGTATGTGTATGTGACAGAGAGAGACAGAGAGAGAGAGAGATCGACGAAGACAGAAGAACGTCGAAAAAGAAAGGGGCGAAAAGTAGGGGCAACAAGAAGGAACGTCTCCTCTGTCAAAAGAATCTTCTTCCCGCGAATCCGCGAGAAACTTTCTTTCAGCTTCGATCTTCGCGAAACGTTCAAACGAAAAATAGAGAAAGAGAGAGAGAAAGAGAGAGAGAAGCACAATTGTAAGAAACTCAAAGAAAAAGAGTTGAAAAAAAAAAGAAAAACTCAAGTTTCGGTTGGGCCCAAGCTATAGTTGCAGGCAGGAGAGGTGCTGCTTACGAGGAGAGGAGAGAAAGATCGGCATGTGTGTAATGGAGGGGAAGGAAGGACGTTGAAGCCCTGTTGTGACGCAGCCTTAGTTTCATCGAGGTATATACAGCGGAGGACCTGCTAAGGCCCATTCTCTGCCGGCTGCCCCCCCTCTCCCCCTCCTCTACGCCCTTCCGCCACTGAATCCCTCTCTCCTACGGCCTTTGGGCCCTTCCTCGCGGCCCCCTCCCCACCCTCCCCTCCACAGCGGGCCCTCGCTTCCTCTCGCCGCTGCTGCCCGCGTGCGCGCTCGCTCGCGTCGACGATTCCTGTCCTCGGAGTCCTCCTTCCACATTCCTGGGTCCCAAGTCGCCATGCGGCGGAGACGCTTGGGCGGGAGGTGGAATACGAGAGGCCCTATACAAATCACCGGGCTACCGTCTTACCCGGGCTCATTCCTTCTCTCCCTTCTTTCTCGCTCTTTCTCTTTCCTGTCCTTCCTCTTCTCTGTCACTCTTCTTCTTCTTCCTCTTCTTCTTCTCGCTTCTTCTTTTTCTCATTTCTTTTTATACCTGTGTCCTCTATCCTTCTCGAACTACCTATTATCTCTCTCTCTCTCTCATTTATCGTGTTCTCTCTCTTCTTCCTTTCTTCTTCATCGTAATGTTTCCTCCTCGTCTGTTGGTAGGCTACGTCCCTTCTATCTCTCTCTCTCTCTCACTTACTCTCGCCATCCTTTTTTCGCATTTCGTCTTTTATATATAATACGCGAGCAAGATTCTTTCCCTGTCTTTCTTATATAGAGTGTGTTCCTCGCTGGTAGGATACGTTGGTCTCGTCCTTCTTGGTCCCTCTTGCTGCCTTCGTCGTTCCTTCTTACTCGGTTAACCCTCCTCCCCGTCCTACCACCGCCACCTCCTCCTCCTCCTCCTCCTTTCGTGCACTTTCATGTCCCTTTTCGTCGGTTCCTTTTTCTCCTGTTTGCGAACAACACGCACCTCGACCCTCGGCCACGCACACGTACCACGCGCGTTGACGCCCAAAAAATTTGACCTTTCATATAAATTACTCGCGACATTCGCGGCCTCCGCCATAGAGGAGACTCGCGTGAGTTTTTTCTCGGGAGTATTCGACGATCATTTCCGTGAAATCTCGCGTATAATTAGAATGAAATATCGCGACGTAGAAATCTCTGTAAACATTTTTCTACCCTGAACGGATGAAACTGGAAATGAAAATTTGCGAAATTTCAATGGAGTAAAGAGGGTAAGTCAGAAATTTTTTTTCGAACGCATTTGGAAACTTCGTGGCGACATCGGAAAAAATTTCTCCGTCGCGTTCACCAAAGCGAAAAGGGTTGGAAACCAAAGAACTTTTCGGCGGCTGGTCGCGTTCCGCTCGCCCGGAGCGATCTTTCTCGATATCTATTTTTAGTAAGAAGCGTCCAAGACCAGACGGTGGTGATTACAAAATTGCAGCAGCGATTGGTCCGTGTCATTTTACCGCCACAGGCATGGGGGTCGGCCGAGGGGGACAAGAAGAAGACGAAGAGAAGTACGACGAAATGGCAGGGGCAGAAGAAGAAGAAGAAGACGAAGGAGGAGGAGCAGGCAGAAAAAGACGGGCAAGTCAACAACGAAAACGAACAGGAAGAACAAGAAGGAGAAGAAGAAGCATCACCAACCAACAGCAGCAGCAGAAGAAGAAGAAGAAGAAGAAGAAGAACAGGCAAAGATGGCCAGCAACAATGAAGTCTCTCGAAAAAAACTCAACCACCATAAGAAACCAACCCAACGTCCACAAAACCATGTACAGAAATCCTGAAAGGTCCTCCTAGATGGAAAACTTACGGTTGAAGTTAGCCAGGATATGCGGGTAGAAAGAGAATCGAGGGAAACCTCGGTGGAGGAGGACGAAGAAGTGGAAGAAGGACCGGTGAACGCAGCAGTTCGCGCACGTACGTGGTCGCGCGTAGAGCAAGGAACACGGAGGCGCGCAGAAGAGGCGAGAGAGCTCGTACAGAGGCCTCATAAGAGAGAAAGGAAGAAAAAGGGAGAGAAAAGAGAGGGGGAGAGAGAGAGAGGGTTCACGCAAACCGACGCATGCACGCATGCAGGGGTGTGAGCCACCTTTTTCTACTTGTTTTCGTTTTTCAGATGCATTTTTTTCCTGTCGTGGCATGGCTCGCGCGCCTCAAAACCCGCCAGCTCAGGCTCGTCGTGATGGGGCCCCGCTGGAATGTAGGAGGGAGGGGTCCCGCAGGGCCCAGCGAGGCCCAAGAAGGGTCCGTAGCGGGCTGGGGTGGGGGTACCAGTCGGACCGGCTTGTCATGACTGGTGGGAAGGCAAGAGAGCAGAGCGAGAAGGGTAGCGGCGAGCGAGCCCGGGTGTATATATTCGGTGAAGGGGAAGGGAGGACGCCAGCCTGTGCACAAGGAGGGCAGCCAACAGAGTGAGGGAGGAGGGCAAGAAGAGAGACCACGGCTATGCAGAAAGATTTCAAGATTAGTCAACGGGCTCTAACCTGAGAGAGAGAGAGAGAGAGAGAGCTCTCTTTTGCCCGGATTAATGTTTATGTAAGCCCTCCTCTGTTCCGATATGAAAAGCCACAGAGTATCGGGTTAGGTTGGCCAATGGCGCGTCTAGGACACACTTTCTCCGTGGCCGAGTGAATCCCGCGAGAAGACTCGCGGAGGATAGAGTGTCGCTGGTATTCGCGGACACTGGTCTGCTTAGTGAAAGTGTCTTTATCACGGACGATGTACTTTCTTTTCATTTATTTATTTTTTCTCTCTCTAGATAAAGACTTTTTACTCTCGCGTTGGAAGTACAGATATCGAAAGTGGGTTGACGATAATTGTAGAACGACGTAGAATAATTTAATTTGGTATTTCGTTTGGAATAAATGTAACGTTAGATTTACTTCGTATCAACTTCTTCACTTTGCGATTTATTTTCGATGCTATATACCTGTCCGGACCGGTATTCATAATTCGAATATTATTGCACGCAGAGAAGAAGGAAGAGGTAAATTATATATCTAAATTGCAACATTGTCGTGTAATTTCATATTCAAAAAGACCTGAGTCTTGAAAAGACTAAAAGAAAAGAAAAAAAAGAAAAGAGGGAACTAACAACATCTCCGAAAACTTTCTTCCACAATCATCCCCCAATTATGTGTGCCCTCTGAGAAACCATCGTTGTGAATATCGAAAATGTAAAAAATTCGGCAGGAAAACGATGCTGAAAGGCATAGCTCGCGGAGGGTAAAAAGTCGAGGGTCTGTCAATGACGGGCTAACGACGGTCCCCGTCACGAAATCGTGGGCCCAATTTGACGTAGGACGGGCGCGGATCGTGTCAAGAAGAGAACGTTCGCGCTCTCGCGAAACGCAACACCTAATGACTCGCGTGAGCTTCAGTAATTCGATCTACTCCAGAAAAGGAGGAGG